CCAGGAGGCGGAGGTTGCGGTGAGCCGAGATCGCGCCATTGCACTCCAGCCTGGGTAACATGAGTGAAACTCCGTCTCCAAAAAAAAAAAAAAAAACTAACTAGGGTAACACTTTGGGAGGCTGGGGTGTCAGAAGTGTTTGAAACAGAGCAACTCCATCTTGAATAGGGGCTGAGACCTACTGGGCTGCATTCACAGGGGTTAAGGCATTCCAAGTCATAGGATGAGATACAGGTCATACAGACCTTGCTGATAAAACAGGTTGCAATAAAGAAGCCAGTTAAAACCCACCAAAACCAAGACGCCAATGAGAGTGATCTCTGGTTGTCCTCACTGCTACATTCCCATTAGTGCCATGACAGTTTATGAATAGCATGGCAATGTCAGGAAGTTACCTTCTATGGTCTAAAAAGGGGAGGCACGAATAATCCACCTCTTGTTTAGCATATAAGCAAGAAATAACCATAAAATGGGCAACCAGGCTGGGTGGCGTAGCTCATGCCTGTAATCCCAGCGCTTTGGGGGGCTAAGGTGAGTGGATCACCTGAATTCAGGAGTTCAAGACCAGCCTGGCCAACATGGTGAAACCCCATCTCTACTAAAAATACAAAATTTAGCTGGGCGTGGTGGTGGGTGCCTGTAATCCCAGCTACTTGAGAGGAGACAGGAGGATCGCTTGAACCCAGGAGGCAAAGGTTGCAGTGAGCCAAGATCATGACATTACGCTCTGGGCCACAAGAGCAAAACTCTGTCTTAAAAAAACAAAAATAAACAAACAAACAGAAAAGGCAAGCAGCAGCCCCAGGGGCTGCTCTGTCTATGGAGTGGTCATTCTCTTATTCCTTTACTTTCCTAATAAACTTGCTTTCACCTTACTCTATGGACTAGCCCTAAATTCTTTCTTTTGCAAGATCCAAGAATCCTGTCTTGGGGTCTGGATCAAGGCCTCTTTCCTCTAACAGAGGCAGGAGGATAGCTTGAGCCCAGGAATTCAAAACAAGCCTGGGCAACACAGTGAGATCTTGTCTTTTTTAAATATTTTATTTTTGTTTTTGAGACAGGGTCTCGCTCTATCACCCAGGCTGGAGGCAGTGGCACAATCATGGCTCACTGTAGCCTCAACCTCCCGGGCTCAAGCGATCCTCCTACCTCAGCCTCCTGAGTAGTTGAGGACTACAGGCATGCCAACATGCCCAGCTAATGTTTTGCAGAGACAAGGGTCTCACTATGTTGCCCAGGCTGGTCTTGAACTCCTGGGCTCAAACAATCCCCCTACCTCATCCTTCTAAAGTATTATTAGCACTACTACTAAGTGTTATTTTTAGTAGTATCCTCCCAAAGGATTATAAGTGTGAGCCACCGTGCCCTGCCTGAGACCCTGTCTCTATAAAAAATTAGCTGGGCATGGTGGCACATGCCTGTAGTCCCAGCTACTTGGGAAACTGAGGTGGTAGGGATCATCTGAGCCCAGGAGTTCAAGGCTGCTACAGTGAATCACAATCACAGCAGTGCATTCCAGCCTGGGTGACAGAGTGAGACCTCCCTCCCCAATCTCTTTAAACAATAAATAAATGGGGCTGGGCGCAGTAGCTCAGGCCTGTAATTCCAGCACTTTGGGAGGCCAAGGTGGGTGGATCACATGAGGCCAGGAGTTCAAGACCAGCCTGGCCAACATGGCAAAACCCTGTCTCTACTAAAAAAAAATTTTAAATTTTAAAAAGCTGGGCATGGGGCCGGCGCGGTGGCTCAAGCCTGTAATCCCAGCACTTTGGGAGGCTGAGGCGGGTGGATCACGTGAGGTCAGGAGTTCAAGACCAGCCTGGCCAACATGGCAAAACCCTGTCTCTACTAAAAAAAAATTTTAAATTTTAAAAAGCTGGGCATGGGGCCGGCGCGGTGGCTCAAGCCTGTAATCCCAGCACTTTGGGAGGCTGAGGCGGGTGGATCACGAGGTCAAGAGATCGAGACCATCCTGGTCAACATGGTGAAACCCCGTCTCTACTAAAAATACAAAAAAAAATTAGCTGGGCATGGTGGCACGTGCCTGTAATCCCAGCTACTCAGGAGGCTGAGGCTGGAGAATTGCCTGAGCCCAGGAGGCAGAGGTTGCGGTGAGCCGAGATCGCACCACTGCACTCCAGCCTGGGTAACAAGAGCGAAACTCCGTCTCAAAAAAAAAAAAAAAAAAAAAAAGCTGGGCATGGTGGCACATACCTGCAATCCTAGGTACTGGGAAGGCTGAGGCATAAGAATCACTTGAACCTGGGAGGCAGAGGTTACAGTGAGCCAAGATTGCACCACTGCACTCCAGTGCACTCCAGCCTGGGCGACGGAGACTCCATATCAAAATAAATAGATAGATAGATAGATAGAGCTGAGTGCAGTGGCTCACACCTGTAATATTAGCGTTTTGGGAAGCTAAGATGGGAGGATCGCTTGAGTCCAGGAAATCCAGGCTGCAGTAAGTCATGTTTGTGCCACTGCCCTCCAGCCTGGGCAGCAGAGCGAGCTCCTGTCTCTAAATAAATAAATAAATAAATACAACCAAGTGGAGTAAGAGGCTGACACCGAGACCCTGTCCTAAGCCCCCATCTCCCACACATCTGCCCCCTCCTGTTTGATACCTTCTGGCGCTTGTAAATGGTGGGCAGTGGGGCCACCTCACAGTCCTTGTGGGCACCAAAGACCTTGCAGAGAGAGCAGGTGGGCACCTCACAGCTCAGGCAGTAGATATTGATCTTCTCCTCTTCATGTTCCTCACACATGAGGTGCTGCTCAGCCTTGGAGTGTAGCGGCCTAGAGAGGAGTGGGCGGGGGGAGGTGGACCTCAAGCATGAAGGGCCCCAGGAGCACCTTCTCTTCAGCCTCCACCAACCACCACCACATCCTCTGCCCCTCAGGCTAGAGCTGTGGCTGAACTGCTGAGTACTTCCACAGAGCTCTGAACTTGGGGAACAGAAGGAGCTAAGAGACAGAGGAGGCCTGGATCCGAGAATAGTCTGTATTCCAGGGTGCAGGAAAGTCCCACAGGACAAGAAGGGCTGGTGAGGATCTTGCTGGTAGACTGCCAGCCTCTCCCGGGAGGAGAGGGTAGGGGTGATATACTGGGTAGGGAATCAGAGACTGCCCTCTCTGGGAGGCCTGAGGCAAGTCCCTCCCCGCTCTCTGGATCCAGTCCTCTCGTCTTTAAACAGAACAGGCAGGTTGACTGTTTCAGTCTCTCCCTTCTCACCCTGATGGGTTCCTTAGCTGTGTCCCAAGCCCTGCCATTTAGAGAGGCAAGAGGCCCTGGCAGCTCACCTGGATGACTCCTGCTTGTAAATGTCGATAATGTTCTCCACCAGCAGGTTTCGCTGCAGGCCGTAGACTCCGTGTCTGTCCAGGACAACCTCATGCCTGCAGGATGGGCAGCGGAAACGGCCTCCTGAAGACACGGTGGTGGAGCCCCGGGACTGCCACAGAGGATTCGAGGCCTGAGGGACAGATGGCGTGAGAGAACAGGCATGGGGAGGCATGGGGGAACTCGGAGGAGACAGGGTGGAAGGGCTTGGGGGCTCGGGAGTAGGAAAATGGTCGAGGGGTAGACGTCAGCTCTTCTCTGTGGCTCATTCACCTGAGAGCAGCACGGGGTGGATGGCCATGGAGACCCTGCTTCCCACCTTTGCCTCATTACTCAGCCCACTTCCTAGAGTGCCCCTGCATCCAGAGCCCAGCTTTGGCCAACTGCCTAGTCAAGATGGGATCATTCCAAAGGGGCCCCGCTTGGAGCCACGAGGAGACATTGGCCTTGGCAATAAGGTCGAGGCAGAAAGTGGACTCTGAGTGGTGCAGCCAGTGTCTTCCAGTCTGGGGCCCTCTTGGGCCACATCTGGGGAAGACTCTCGGCAGTCCTGGGCAGGGGTACAAGCAGAGACAAGCGTGAACAATGGGGTTCACAAAGTGTAACTAGCCCAGTGATTCTAGAAAATTGCTCCAGGAACTGGGAGTCAGGAGTCATGGGTTCTTGTGTTGTCTCTGATGTCTTTTTTTTTTTTTTTTTTTTT